CGTTTTGGGGATTCAGTAGGGACGTTATGACCTCAATCCTTCGAGTTATAAACACCGTCCACACTTAATTTGCAACATCGTGACTTGCGAATCGCGAAGCGTTTAAATCCTCAGGGCTTTGAATAATCTGTGTATGACTGAGTGGTAATAATGGATGTCTCCTTTGACCGCGCATGAGTTTTTTTATAACAACTGCTTTGGCCGCCTTCACGTAATGATCGGGGGGTCAACGATCGGCTATCTGGAGATTTGAAGCCGATAATCCGGACAATGGAGTCATTGACGGCCATTCCGAAGAGTTTCTCTCGAACAAATGACCAGTTGTTTTTCAGGGGAAAAGTGTTAAATGTGTAATCAAACAAGTCAAGGAGAAATTCCTCGCTTGAAAAGAAGGAGGACGCTAATTCATCCGCGATAAGTATTACGAGAAAGAAACTCCTTAAATACGTACAAAGTAATATGTGACATTTCCGACTGGATATAGTTAAAATGCGCGATGATAAAATGACAACGAGTGACAGTAAGCAAGATTCAATCAATTTTATTCAATAGCTCATCGATTCGTAATTTCTTTAATTATTTAATGCAGAAGATTGTGCTAAACCGAATGAAAATTAACAACCATGCTAAAAAGTTAAATTTTCCGCATGCTGCGCGTGGCGATTGGTAGAACCAAAAATAAAGCTATAACAATCCTTGGATGCTATGTTTTGTTGTTGATGTTTTTTTTGTGTTAAATTGTAAGATGCCAGAAGTTACTAAAAAAGGAAACTTAATCAACTCTTGCATTCAAAATGCTATCTATCCAATCGAAAAGTACTAACAAATGACACGCTTCAATTCGTGTAGACACACATAACTTGTATCCTAACGTCTAACAGCCTACAACTTTATAGGATAGGGGATGTATCTATTATGAATAAGAGTATAAGGACAGATCAGAAATTAAAAAAAGAAATGTGTTGGTGTGATTTAATTAATGCATATTTAAGAATAAAAATACGTGTAAACAAAAAACAGCTGTTAAATTCATGGCTGCCATGTTGGTTACCTATGCCCTAACGGATAGAAATGTGACTACATTTTCGACCTAACACCTAACATTGGCTCTAGCCTGTTAGATCGAGCAATGTTAGCTAGCCGATTCTTACAAGTCTATGTCATGATTTTTCTCGATCTAACGGGACCTAATAGAGTTAACAAGGTTAACACAAAGATCGTGAATACCCCTAATATTTATTCTTTATACGTTTGCTACTTAGGCAAAACCACAAAGGAACAGATATACACTCTCTCACTCACTGCCTCTTCCTCTCTTTCTTTCCCTCTCTCCCTTCCTCTGGGTATATACAAACCAAAAATAGCAATGATAAAGCCAATAATATCACATCCATCCTCAGTTTTGGCTGCTATTGTTTCAAGTACGGTGAATTATATCATATAGCACCACGTCGAATCATAATACATAGTTATACAATCCATGTTCGCTCTGTTGCTAAGATAATTATGTAGTATTTGAAATTACTTAATAAAAGTGTCTAAGTTCCAATAAAAGTGTTTTATTCCTTAAAAGCTCGATGCCAGAAATTAGTTTTTCTGATTAGTCTTATCTTCGGTCGTCTAATGTAAATATAAAATTTTGATGACAGAATAATAAATACATTGACGAATATATATTAGTTTTTTTTGTTGTACAATAGGGACAATCCTAAACAAAATGTCCCTAAATAAGCGTTTTCTCTACTATAAAATGATAACATGGGATTTACCGTTATCTGGCAATTTAAATCCCCTAGGATTATCCCATGACGCGAGTTTCTGTGCTCGAAAACTCATTAGTTTGTAACCCTACAATGTAAAATTATTTGGAGAATTTGCAGAAAGTTACTAACCATCTGAGATTCATGTTTGGCTTGGTGTTTCAGGTGTGGATTTGAAATAAAGGCTAAATAATGTTTTGTAGGATGGTGTATTGTTAGATTCTTCTTTCAATTATGCCCAGGAGAAATGTCTTTCATTATTTTTTGTAACATGTTATTCTAAACAAATTTATGTTTGAATACGAGTACATTTGCTTATATCCCTCATGAGGTGTCTGCTTTTATCCCAGAAAATTAGAGAGTTGATCCGGGAAAAAGAAATGTTAGGCACGGCTACAGCGGAGAGATCCTGTTGTTAAAACATTTTCGAAAAAAACGTAAATCTTTAAAATAGAACTGAACAAATTATAGAAGTAACTCTCAGAATCTACAAGGTAAACTTTACAGCAGTCACTAAGTATATCAAAATAGACGGAAATCTTCACTAAAACTAAAGAAACCTATCATTCAAATCTCTTCACTTAAAAAAGACGTATTTTAGATGGGGTTTTGCTTTAAATCTTCATTAAAAATTGTTGTCTGAAGCAAACTGCTCGGAATAAACATGTAAAAAATGAAACCGGCCCATACACAGGGTAAAAGGGCGTTGCATTTGAATATTTTATAAGCCTAGGCGGTGTCTTATCTTTTAGGATTCCCCTGTGGAAAAATTCTATGCTTTGTATAAACATAATCTCCATAGGTTTCGGCCAATAAACCGGGCCTGCAGTCACAAAACGTGGATAACATAACGAGAGAAAAGTTCAGTCTGTTCGAACACTTTGAAAACCAAATGGTAAATCTTGTTATTCCTAAGAACAAAAGACCGAGTGTTTTTATGCTGAAAATGGGTTCAACCTTGTTATAAGTACACTTTTCGCTCTGTTATCATTGCCTATTATCTCAGGCTATTCGTGTATCTGCATTATCTACATTATTCGACGGCTTAATTATCAGTGACATTATTGTTATTGTCGTATATATGTATCTATGTATCTATCTATCTATCTCTCTATCTCTCTTTCTGTCCCTCCCTCTTTCTTTCTCTCTCTGGCGTGAAGAACACATTACTCCAAACTATCGCCGACTGAAGGCTTAAACGTTGAATATAGACGGGTTTACTTTCTGTGTCCATCCTTGTATGCTATGTTCAAAGAGAGGTGGCAGCAGCATTTTTATTCTTAACGGATGAGTAGAGTTCCGCTTGAATGGAGAAGAACCAGAAGTTTTGGTGCAGATTTTTGTATACCACCACATCAGACTGAAACATACCAAAAATAGTTTTTAATGTGTTCCCACAAATGGTAGAACCACTATTGTTCTGACGTTAAAAACCTAAAAAACCACTATCAGTTAAAAACGCAATATACAGTTGCCTCTTATAAAATTATCTGTTGAGCAACCATTGACATCTGTATTAAAAAATTAATAAGTAAACAAGTTAATGAAAGGAAAAGAGATAAATAAGAATTTAAAAAATTTTTTGTTTATTCATTTTCATTTATTATTTTATTTTATATTTCATTTGATATTACATTGTTCTACTTTAGAATAATTCTCAAATCTCGTATTTTATATTTTTATTTGAAATTATTTAATATTTGTTTAAATAACTGGATTAATTATGCTTAATTGTAGTTGAGCACATAGTTAACGATTTATTTATTTTGTAACATATAATTTATTTTACAATAATTGTTTGTCTCTTGGTCGTATTTTGTATTATTGTTTTATAATTATTTAATGTTTGTTTACATCACTGTAATAATTAACGCTTAATTTCATTATTATGGTTGTCCTTGGGGTAATTTATTTCCAGAATGTAATAATGTTTATTGTATATTCACTACTTATCGTAGTCCGCTTGACCAACTAATATATTTTAATTAAGGTTTTTAGTTGAGATAAAAAATGGTAAAAAGGAGAGAAAATTCAAAGGAGGGGTTGAGATGGGAAGTTAGTGTCCGAGGGGATCGAGGTCACGATAGCTCCAGTGGTAGAGCAGCGGCGTATCTAGCCGAATATCGTGGGTTCGAATCCCGCTCGTGACACTGACTTTTTTACTTCAACTAAAAACCTTAATTAATTGAAATTTATTGTATATTTTCTCTTTGCACAATTTCACTCTCTTTTAGTCTCCCTCTCTCATTTTCTCTCACTCTCTCTATCTGTCTCTCTCCTCCTATCTATCTCTATCCATCTATCTATCTATTTATCTATCTACGTATCTCTCTCTCTCTCTCTCTCTCTCTCTCTCTCTCTCTCTCTCTCTCTCTCCCTCTCCCTCTCTCTCTCTAAAAAAAATAAGGGAAAAATAAGGCTTACTTGAAGAAATTTAATTTAAGTGAGGACGACGCGTGTCACTGTCCGATGTACATCCCCCAATGCTGGGAACATTTCATCTTGGACTGCCCAATTTTTGAGCTGCAGCGACCTGACCATCTAAGGGACATCGCCACAAAGGGAGAACGTCGGCCAAAATTGGATTATCTCCCTAAGGACCCTGAATTCTTCAAATTCTTAAAGAAGATTGACTTTGATAAAGTGTGAAATGTGTTTGGTTGAAAACGTTATTTCTTATCGACTTATATAACTACAGTTGTTGCCGGATTTTATTTATAAACATTTAAATTATTTGTTAATGCTAAATTTGTATACGTATTTTTAGCCGGAAATCTATTTATCTGTTTACCCTACATACCTACCTGCCTGCCAATCTACCTACCTACATACTGTCTCTCACTCTCTCTCTCTCTCTCTCTCTCTCTCTCTCTCTCTCTCTCTCTCTTTCACACACACACACTCTCTCTCTCTTTCTCTCTCCTACTCGTCTTCTTCTTCCTCCTCCTCCTTTAACCAATTACACAACTAAAAAAGTAAAGGAACATATGATAAAAAGTAAGGGCATAAAATGCAGGGATAATAATTATTATTTTCAACAGTAGCATAAATGGATATTCATAATTGTTTGAAAATGTTCCCTTGTTAATTTATGATGGTTGTTAGTCTGCGACTCGGGAACAGAACATGAACCCGACTAGGTCACTTTCTGGGTCCGTCAAAGCTCGCGGATTTTGATGTTTTGATGATAGGGTTAAAAAGAAAAACATTTCTCACTGTTATGGCGCAAAGCCGAATGCCGGTCGAATAACCTCAAATCATCAGTTGAAATTTAGGGGTTTAACGAATAGACAAACCGACTGACTATAGTTGATATCAACTAGCAATAATCGCATCTCAGTAGAACTTCATTGATTACGATATTGCCACTGCGCAAGGTT